GTGACAATAAATGAAAGTGGGCGTTAACCAGATATGTCACAATACCACTTCGTGATCAAGGAAATATTGCCATAAACAACACATATTTTTAAAAAGTAATATATATATTATGTAGTCCAAAATTGTGAATGGAAAGTCCCCAATCTGCACTCACCAGATTATATCGGCCAACAAAGTAGCCAGCAAGCATATAGGACCAGGTCTTGTATGTGTTAGGTAAGGTGCCGAGTTCTGCAGAATCCTTAGAGCCCGTCCAATCAAGCACCACTAAAACATCTCCTCTATTACCAGCATAAGTCAGTTAAGATGATGATGGACACATAGCTGAGCCCTTCTTGTTTTACTTGAGAAGGAATTTACCAGCTGACTTCATTTAAATGGTTGAAGTGGTTAAAGGATAAGTTCACCTTTCTGAACATGTTACATATCACACCCATATTTAGGGTGTAAAATGCTCAGCAACCACCCCCCTCCCCCCACCCCCAATATCCCCCTTCCCTGGGACAGCCAATGGGGGATCCACCCAAGCCAGACTTCATAAACAGTGCGGCTGTGCTGGGCTTCGCCCACAGAGCCGCTTCAGTCATTCACAGGAATATGTGATTGAATAAACTACAAGTACTGTCTTCCACTGCAGCAGACAGCTTGTAGTTCTCAATGAACTGTGAGAGCACTGGTGAGTACAGTACAGAAGTATGGGCAGAAAGCTGTAGCAAGTGTCTGTAGGAGGTGATCTGCTAATCACGGGTGCATTTCTCTAGATGCTTCTACACGCTCCTGAGAAAAAAAATAAATGCTTTTTTCATATATAACCAAAATTCTATTTTCTATTCTATACAACAAAAAAAAGAACAGCGGCGCTATGTAATATCACATCAAAACAACTTATATCAAAATACCAAATAATTGTGATAAAAAAATAAAAAGTGAAACGTAAGTCTATAAAAAAAGTTTTTTTTTCACCCAGTGTTATAATAGTGAAAAACAAAAAAGAAGTTCTATTAGTGTCCAATAATTCAATTCCACATTGGTGATTTCAGTACTTCTCCACTTATATTTCTCCATACCAAAGTGCTCAGTGCCACTATATCCCTCTAGGACACTCAGTCACCAAAATTATATGCCTCACATTCTCATGATCGACATAAAAGGCATGTTGTTAATATTAATCCATTCTGTCAGTGGGACTCTCCAGACCACTCCAATATGTACCAATATTCATAGAGGGGAAAATCAGAAAAACTCCAACAGTGTAATAACGTACAGCACCATTTATTTAATGTTAAAAATGCACTTACAAAAAATCTTTAAAATCTTTAATACATCAAACGCTATGTATCCAGTAAGCTAAACACAAGCCGACTCTGTTGGCGTCTCACCACGCTTCCCGTCTGTCTCTCCCAGAACGTCATTTCTGGTGCAGTGTGCCACGTCACTTCCGGTTGCCATACAGTTATGTCCCGATGTGTTTCGTCATTCTGACTTTGTCCAGGGATTGGCTGTACGACTTGGCAACCTCTCGGATACAGATGTCAATATGCTAATTGTTAACTCATTAGACACCACAGATCTTGCAATCCAAGTACTCCTAATGCATACAGCACCTATTCAGAGGTCTATTTTTTTTCCTGCAAAAACATTCGCAAGTATTATTTTTTTGAAAAGGTGAACTTAGCCTTTAAACCTAATTTGATATGTAGCTGCTCACCCCAAGATCCCATTTAGTGTCATGTAGTATGGAGCACAGCTTAGTAAAGTTATTTTTTTTTAGTGTTCTTGTCCTACTCTCATGTGTCCTTTTGCTTATGTCAAATGTAATTACTCTGTGATCACGGTTACCTAAATTATCCATTACTTCCACATCTGCAATCAGTTCTGTGTTTGTTTTTATTTGTATGTCAGGCAGAGCATTATTTCTAGTTGGAGCTTTCACCATTTGACTCATTAAATAGTCCTGCATTACATTTAAGAAATGATGACCCTTAGTTGAGTGAGCAGATCTCAGTCAGATTAGCCAGAAACCTCTTCCAATGTTTTTTCAGTACTTTTCACTAAGCCAGGGTGGCACATCTGTGCATACAGTTTTTTTTCTAATAGCTGTAATACAGCAAACATCTTCCTTTAGATTTGCAAGCAGATATTTTTTACTAATATGGTCTATGGAGAAGCAGTTTGAAATAACTTTTTCAGTCTCAAGGAACCCCTGCTAAAAAGTACTATATCTACAAATCATTATACATTAGTGTGATGGTCAGTGAGAAGAATGCTCCTTACACTTGTGGTCATTAGGAAGAATTACCCCTTACCAATAGCTAAAAGACCATTGGTATCAGTGGGAATCTATCTGAGATGCAGAAATTACTCATTGCTCAAGGAACCCCTAGCAACCTCTAGAGGAACCCTGGTTTAGAAACCCTGCCCAAGATCATTGAAGAGGACTGAAGAACTGCCAGGGTCAGTGTAGGCCACAGCCAGTGAAGTTTACCTGCTGATATGAGGTTAGTACCATCATAAAGTACAAATAAACTACCTGATGTCAGAAGAGCAAGGTATATATGGGATTGCACTGCCCCAACATAATTAAATGTACTCTTAGCCTTTGAATGTAATTTTACATGCAATTATCATTTGCAGCTGAATCCATAATTTTAGTAGAGTCTGGTAATCCCCTGCACAGCAGCACCCCGGTGTCATACTCACCTGTTCCACACTCCAGCACCAGAACTTTCCCTCTGTGTGCTGCCACCGTCTTCCAGCCAATAAAAGAGGGGGAGCTGTCTTAAAGGACTAGTATACAGCTTGCTCAGAGTTTGAACAACGCATCAACAGACTAGCTGGTGAATGTTTTCCTGTGCCTCTGGTGATTCCCAACATTTCTTAGTGTCTTCCATGATTCTAGCCTTGTCATCCCAGTGTGTCCCAACCTGCTTCCAGCCCTGTGTTCCCAGTTTCTTCAGTTTCCAGTCTGCATCCAGTCTTGTGTACTCCTACCTGTAACCCCCAAGCCTGTGCCTGGCTCAGGTCTCAATTTCTTTGCGCTGTACTCTTAGTACTTGGTGAGAACAATGCTAATTTCCCTTTTAAGAATACTATTTAATGTCTGTGTCTTATTTCAGATGTTAGTATACCAGCAGGAAACAAGTACTTCAAAAATAGATATATGATTTTATTATAAAAGATTGCATGTTAACAAAAAACTAGGCATGGATTGAGATGTAGAGGGACTCTTAAAAAATTAAAGCTAACAATAATTTAAAGGGAAAGTCATTTGTGTAATGAGTGCATGCCTGCATCATCCTATTTCCAAATCTGTCCATATACCAACCACATAAAAAGTTTCAAACTTGTCAAGCCAACAGTTTAAAAAAGAAAGCTGTTTGAGACATTTTTTTTTATCAAGCTGCATGGCAGCCATTGTAAATTTATCTTTTTCTTCTGTCCTTTAGACAGTAAGCCATAACATGAAGGCCTGCTTAGCTAGCAATTAGCTAGCATTGGTCGTTATTAGGTCATTTAACCATCAAAACCTCATTTTTTTCTCCTAGCATATGCATGGGCAAAGACAGATATCAAATTTACAACCAGGCCGCTCACTTTTTTAACATTCGTATTTGAAGGCTTTTTATAGCAATAGTTTCTTCCTTAAGGTGCACCTACTTTTTGACCATGCAAGTTGAACTAACAGGTTCACTTTAGACCTGCCCCCACAGCTCTATCTATAGCTTCCTTTCACTTCCCAGCACACCTTTGCTTGTGGGAGAATGGGAGGGGGACAACATGTGACTCAATCCCCTTCTTCTCATAGGACAGTGAGAAGCACCCTGGGGAAGAAGCTTCAGATTTCCCTTTCTGGCAGGCCATGAATGCCTTTTTGAACAGCTCTGTGTGGTGATCCTATCTGATGCCACTTAGTGTGTCAGACAGGTTGTCTTTCACCCCATGCTGTGGTTCCACTGAGGACTCTGGACACAAAAGTGAAGAAAGGGGAACCACAGAGCCAAGTAAAAGACATGCTATATAACACATAAAAATCTCTTCCTACTCCTATGTGACAGCGTTGGCATCTGAGCAAGTAAAACTTTTTAATAAAGGTTTTTGCGGAAAAGGGTTAAAACCTTGTCAGTTTATTTTTTTTTATGTCTCCCTCCCACTGGAGAGATTTTCTTTTAATTCCTGTGCTGTAGGCACAACAGGAGGTGATGGGCAATTGTACAACATGAGAAGAATCTGCCACCTATACTGTTGTCACCACAAAAGGTTGGAACACCACTTATTCAGATGAAACTCTAAAACTTTGGATTTCCGTTAAGGTGGTTGTAAACGGTGAAGGATTTTTACCTTTATGTATTCTCCCCCCACAGCCCCCCCCCCCCAATACTTAACCCAATCCTCATCCAACGATGTGCTTGGGATCCTCGGCTCTCCCAGGTCTCTTTCTCCTCATTGACTGAGACACAGAAGTGGGAGCCATTGGCTTCCACTGCTGTCCATCAAAGCCTGTGAGGAGGGAGCGGGGGTGGTGGGACTGAGTCACACTCTATTAGACGCACAGAGCTGGCTTGGGAGCAAGCAAGCAGCTTGCATTGAGAGCACTTGGCAAGGGGGAGGGGCCACAAGCACCAGCAGAGAAGAGGAGGGTCAGGGCTGCTCTGTGCAAAACCATTGCACAGAACAGGTAAGTATTACATGTATGTTACTTTAAAGAAATAAAATTAACCTTTAGAACCACTTTAACATTATGTCTCGGTGACTATGGTCATCAGGACAAATATAAAGTGTGAATCTAACTAACAGGGACACATACAGCAATCGAACTTGACAGGGGTTTTAATCCTTCCCCAACTCTATTCAAATATATACACTTTAACTTGCAACCTGTGAACAAGCAAGTATAAAGATTCTCCTTTCACAGCGTGCTTTACTTTCATCTTCTTTCAGTGGCAACAAGGTCTCTTTAGACACAGTAAGGTAATATTGTGCTTCCACAATGCCATTATCAGTCATTGACTAATACTGTTTGATTGTCCATTTTGAGTCCCCTGATCACCAGCTTCATTGGTGGCTGGAGACTCTGTATTTCGACTCTGTAGGAACTTGCGCACATCTTTTATCATAGGTCGTAATACCTGAATAAGGGCATTCAGGGCTGCCTGAGTCCCCTCCATGGCCTGGGCTTGGCGCTCCTGAGCACTAGCTTGGACTTCCTGGGACCGGCGTATCATCTGCAAGATATCGTTCTGTTGCTCAAGGTGTTGGGCAATCTCCTTTACGTGCAAGTTAGTCACTCTCTGCTCCTGCAGCAGCCGTGCTGAATTTAGCGCAATTCTGTTCTTTAGTTCCTGAGGTTTTCCCATAACTTCAGCTGAAGGAGAGATCATTTCTACAGGAGTCTCAGAAGTAACAGTCGTGGGGGTTTCTGTTGTGCAATACTCCACCACATTTTCTTCTAAAGTATGGTAAGTGGTCTCTGCAGGGACTGAAAAAGAAATAGATTATACATGCAGATTCTTTGTCCACTACAGTTAAAAAAAAAACTACTGTAAGTCTAAATGTTCTGCAGGGCATGCAAACATTTGCAATTTCCATGAGTACAGGTATTCACAGACAAATGCCTCCTGCCTAAGTCTGGTCATTGAATTGCCACTAAGCAATGGTGGATTTTCTGTTTCAACAGTTTTTATTGTTTTCAAACAAAATGTGACAAGCTCACAGATCGCCAATGCAGGATCTAAGCTAAGTAATCACATAAAAATAGGTACATGTCATCAGTGTAAAAGCAAAATCATCAAAGAGCACAAACTGGGATGCAGGAGGATCAGTGATGGTGTCTAGATTCAACAATCCTCAGCAGTAGTAAGGCCCCCTTCCTAAGGGCAACAGTACCCATGAGGGTAAAAGGAACGCAAAAGAAAAGCAAGCAAGGGAAATGGAAAAAAATGGGGAAGAAGAGGGAGAAGGGACAGGGGGAGAAAGGAAGAACCACAAACTCGGGACGGTTGCAGGCAGCAATTATAAATGGGCGTAACTGGCAGCCATGGTTGATTTTCAAGATCAATAGGTATTGTTTCACCCTGAGATGCTTGCCTGCAGCTTTCCTTCTGCCCTCCACATAGGCACCTGCAGCCTTCCCTCTGCCTTCTCTACAGACACCTGCAGCCTTCCCTCTGCCTTCTCTACAGACACCTGCAGCCTTCCATCTGCCCTCCACATAGGTACCTGCAGCCTTCCTTCTGCCCTCTCCATAGACACCTGCAGCCTTCCTTCTGCCCTACCATAGGTACCTACACATAGGCACACTGCACCTGCAGCCTTCCTTATGTCCTCCACAAAGGCACCTGCAGCCTTCCCTCTGCCCTCTCCATAGACACCTGAAGCCTTCCTTCTGCCCTCCACATAGGCACCTGCAGCCTATCTGTCATCGACATAGGCACCTGCAGCCTTCCCTCTGTCCTCCACAAAGGCACCTGCAGCCATCCCGCTACCTTCTCCATAGACAACTGCAGCCTTCCATCTGCCCTCCACATAGGCACCTGCAGCCTTCCCTCTGCCCTTTCCATAGACACCTGCAGACTTCCCTCTGCCCTCTCCATAGACTATTGCATCCTTCCCTCTGCCCTCTCCATAGACACCTGCAGCCTTCCCTCTGCCCTCTCCATAGACACCTGTAGCCCCTCTGCCCTCTCCATAGACACCTGCAGCCTGCCCTCTCCATAGACACCTGCAGCCTTCCCTCTGCCCTCTCCATAGACACCTGCAGCCTTCCCTCTGCCCTCCACCATAGACACCTGTAGCCTTCCCTCTGCCCTCTCCATAGACACCTGCAGCCTTCCCTCTGCCATCCACATAGGCACCTGTAGCCTTCCCTCTGCCCTCGCCATAGACACTTGCAGCCTTCCCTCTGCCCTCTCCATAGACACCTGTAGCCTTCCCTCTGCCCTCTCCATAGACACCTGCAGCCTACCCTCTGCCCTCTCCATAGACACCTGCATCCTTCCCTCTGCCCTCTCCATAGACACCTGCATCCTTCCATCTGCCATCCACATAGGCACCTGTAGCCTTCCCTCTGCCCTCGCCATAGACACCTGCAGCCTTCCCTCTGCCCTCTCCATAGACACCTGCAGCCTTCCCTCTGCCCTCTCCATAGACACCTGCAGCCACCACATAGGTACCTGCAGCCTTCCTTCTGTCCTCCATAGACACCTGCATCCTTCCCTCTGCCCCCTCCATAGACACCTGCATCCTTCCATCTGCCCTCTCCATAGACACCTGCATCCTTCCATCTGCCATCCACATAGGCACCTGTAGCCTTCCCTCTGCCCTCGCCATAGGCACCTGCAGCCTTCCCTCTGCCCTCTCCATAGACACCTGTAGCCTTCCCTCTGCCCTCTCCATAGACACCTGCAGCCTACCCTCTGCCCTCTCCATAGACACCTGCAGCCTACCCTCTGCCCCCTCCATAGACACCTGCAGCCTTCCCTCTGCCCTCTCCATAGACACCTGCATCCTTCCATCTGCCATCCACATAGGCACCTGCAGCCTTCCAAACTAAAAAACAAAATGCCGTATCATAGGGTATAAGTACCCATGAAATTTATCTGACTCACCATAAATAAAGGTGTGGATTTTTTGAACAGAACACTTAGCATACAAAAAGGATGATCAGTTGACAAGAGCAAACTGCAAAAAGATTGGTATTTAAATCCAAAGCAGAGTAAAGAATACATCCAAATAGATGCAAAACAATCACTTTATTATGATCACAGTGATCCTCTGAAGGATAGGCTTGAGCCATGGTGGCCACACAGCAAATCAGACAATAAAAACAGTGTGATTAAAAACAAAAACAAAAGTCCAGCACATTCACTTAGCTGAATAGTTGAAAAACAATAGGAGGCTAGGAAACCGATAAACATAACCTTCTGGGAGAAGTATCTTCAATATGTAATGCAGGCGGTAGGGCTGCAGAAATGCATGGAAAGTGCTTTTCTTATATGATCAATATGTTTGGACTTCATAAAGGGATGACTTGCTGATTTCATAGATAGCATAACTAAGGGAGGATAAATTACTTCACCTCCCTAGTACAATCATCAATTCTGGATGTGGAGGTAGCATATGGCATAAATCCTTCACAGTGTCTCATCATTATTGAAGTGACTTGAAGATGAAGGATGTAGTAATGCTAGGCCAATCACTATCGGCCGATTTCACTTGAGTGAAGTTGTAGTTATAAACAGCAATAATGAGGCTTAGATCCAAATGGATCTTTAGTAACCAGACTATAAGTGAAACAGTCTTGCAAACGTCTTCCAGCGAAAGTGGTAATACCCCTATAAATGTATATTATGAATTATCCTCCAAGATGGATATCTGAAGACAATAATCTTGATTAAGTTATTGCATAAACTGGCACTGTAGATATGTGCTTGTATTAAGGCCAAGTGGTAAATGAATTCCTCTGTACGGAAGCTCCGTGTGTTATCATGTATAAAGCATAACGTTATTCGTGATAGAGGTTACTTTCCACTGGTAAAGATCTCAGCAGGTAAATCGCCACACAGTATTAACGTTGCTCCCAGGAGTTAGGATTTAGCGTTCGGTTTCTGTCTTGCCAAGTGAGGATCCAAGATGGAAGATTGTGGTGTACATCTTCCTCCTTGTGGAAATTTCAGCGTGGTGAAGCGTGGATGTGATGATGTCACTACGTTGACGTGTTTTGTTCACCAATCATCTTGGATCCTTCATCTTCAAGTCACTCCACATAGGCACCTGCAGCCTTCCATCTGCCATCCACATAGGCACCTGCAGCCTTCCTTCTTCCCTCCACATAGGCACCTGCAGCCTTCCATCTGCCCTCTCAATAGGTACCTGCAGCCTTCCATCTGCCTCCACATAGGCACCTGCAGCCTTCTCTCTACTCTCCACATAGGGCACTTGCAGTCTTCCCTCTGCCCTCTCAATGGACACCTGCAGCCTTCCTTCTGCCCTCCACATAGGGCACCTGCAGCCTTCCCTCTGCCCTCTCAATAAACAATTGCAGTCCTCCTTCTGACCTTCACATAGGCACCTGCAGCCTTCATTCTGCCCTCCACATAGACACATGCGGCCTTCCTTCTGCCTCCACATAGGTACCTGCAGCCTTCCTTCTGCCCTCTCCATAGATACCTGCAGCCTTCCATCTACTCTCCACAAAGGCACCTGCAGCTTTCCTTACATCTGCTTCCAGGTAGCGGACCCTCTCCATAGACACCTGCAGCCTTCCATTTGCCATCCACATAGGCACTTGCAGCCTTCCTTCTGCCCTCCACCTAGGCACCTGAAGCCTTCCATCTGCTCTCTCCACAGACACCTGCAGCCTTCCCTCTGCCCTCTGCATAGACACCTGCATCCTTCCATTTGCCATCCACATAAGCACCTGCAGCCTTCCATCTGCTCTCTCTATAGACATCTGCAGCCTTCCCTCTGCCCTCTCCATAGACACCTGCGTCCTTCCATCTGCCATCCACATAGGCACCTGCAGCCTTCCCGCTGCCCTCTCAATAGACACCTGCAGCCTTCCTTCTGCCCTCCACATAGGTACCTGCAGCCTTCCATCTGCCTCTACATAGGCACCTGCAGCCTTCCCTCTGCTCTCCACATAGGGCACCTGCAGTCTTCCCTCTCAATAGACAGCCCTCCTTCTGCCCTCCACATATGAACCTGCAGCCTTTCCTCTGCATAGACACTTGCAGTCTTCCCTCTGCCCTCTACATAGGCACCTGCAGCCTTCCTTCTGCCCTCCACATAGACACCTGCATCCTCCCTTCTACCCTCCATGTAGGCACCTGCAGCCTTCCTTCTGCCCTCCACATAGACACCTGCATCCTCCCTTCTACCCTCCATGTAGGCACCTGCAGCCTTCCATCTACTCTCCACATAAGACACCTGCAGCATTCCTTCTGCCCTCCACATAGGCGCCTGCAGCCTTCCCTCTGCACTCTCCATAGACACCTGCATCCTTCCATCTGCCATACACATAGGCACCTTCAGCCTTCCTTCTACATAGGCATCTGCAGCCTTTCCTCTGCCCTTTCCATAGACACCTGCAGCCTTCCATCTGCCTCCACATAGGCACCTGCAGCCTTCCCTCTGCTCTCCACATAGGGCACCTGCAGCCTTCCCTCTGTAATCTCAATAGACACTTGCAGACTTCCTTCTGCCCTCCACATAGGCACCTGCAGCCTTCCCGCTCCATAGACACCTGCAGTCTTTCTTCTGCCCTCTACATTTGTACCTGCAGCCTTCCATCTACTCTCCACATAGACACCTGCAGCCTTCCATCTACTCTCTACATAGACACCTGCAGCCTTCCATCTACTCTCCACATAGACACCTGCAGCCTTCCTTCTGCCTCCACATAGGCACCCACAGCCTTCCTTCTGCTCTCCACATAGGGCACCTGCAGCCTTCCCTCTGCCCTCTCAATAGACACCTGCA